AGACAAAGTAAAACTGCCCTGTGGTATTCCCTAGGCTGTTATCTTTCCATAAGCAGATCTCCAGGTCTTTCTCCTACAGAGCCACTGGTGGGTTTGAACTGCCAGCCTTTCAGATAGCAGCCGAGCACTTTAGCATTGCGCCACCAGGGCTTCTTCAAAGTTCAATATTCAAAAATTATTCCCTCTACGTAATCTGCTTATCTCTTGCTGTAATTTAAGGCTGAATTCCTCCGACTGCTTGTGGATTTCAGGGGAATGAAAAGCCGTTGTGGTAACTGCTGGCAAACCTAGGATAGTCATGCCAGGATTGGGCCTGGGCTGACTTCCTATGTGTAAACATAGGCAGCCCTGCAACCCACCACACTGCCAGGATGGCAATTAACTTTGCATTAACTACAGAGCCAATCATATAGATTTTATATAACCACGTAGTATTTAAAGAAAAGGCTTAAGTACTGTTGTTTAAAGCTAACAAAATCTGAATTAAAAGTAACAAGGAGGCATTGGAATCTCAGTGAGTAAGTAGTCTGAGTATTAAGGAAACTCAGTTGCAGTGCTTATAAGCACATAAAAAAAAAAAAAAAAAAAAAAAACACTGCCATTGAGTTGGACCTGACTCATAGCAACCGTTCCTTGGGTTTCGAAGGCGGTATCACTAAGGAAGTAGATTGCCTTCCGAGGAGTGGCTGGTGGGTTTGAACTGCCAGCCTTCTAGTTAGCACTCAAATGCCTTAGGCACTATGCCACCAGAGCTCCCTACAGAAACCAAAATGAGGTGAATCACATGTTGCCTAGGAGAGGCCATTGCCAAAAGGGTAGAAGGAAAGAGAGCAGACTTTAATATAAATCTAGTTTATTAACAAATACATTCTTTGAAAAACAAATAGGTGGTTACAAAGAACTTAAAACTTTTATCCTCTTAAAGTAGTTTTAAGAAAGTATTTACTTTCTCACCATCTTGTTTACATGATTAATTTACTTAGCAAATCCTTTGCTCACATAGTTGACTATGGCCAGACCTCATTTGACTCCAGGTAGTGGCTTCTGAAGTCACGGGTTTGATAGCTGTGGTCCATGTGGATTTCGTGGGTACACACTGAGAACAGGAGTAGGCCATCTTAGGCCTGAGGCAGGCTTTCATCTGCTTCTTGAGGTGATGGCCATAACACCGTAGCCAAGAGAATCATTTTCTTTCTATCACTCTGCCAGAGGGACTCCATTTGAACAAAGCCTCTGAACATTTTAATGGACAAAGAGCAATTGATTGAAGAGCAAAAACTCACTGTCATTTTACATTTTTAAGGCATATTTGAAGTTCAAACCCCAACAGCCTGACACACAAATTTACCTGGGCTAACACTAATTTCAGAATTTAACAACCCTTTCTCTTTCTTTTTTCCTTCCTTTTTCTTCTGCCTTCTTGTGGCTGTCTCTGTCTACACCTCTCTCCCAACTTCATCCTTGGTCTGCTTTTTTCACTTCATTATTAAAGAGTAACTTTTCTTCTCATTTTTGAAATCTGGTGAATTAAATTTCACTCTTTTCTAAAAACAGAACAGCCTTACAGATTGATTTTTAGATTTATGGGTTACCCCAAACTGATTTTTTCTCCCAGTGAGTCAGTGGCCCTTAATAAGAAAGAGAGAAAGAAAGAGAAAGAAAGAAGGAAAGAAAGAAAGAAAGAAAGAAAAAGAAGTTCCCCTGCCCCTAATGGAGAGAGCAGATGAAGTTGTGTTATCATAGCCCAGCTCTGAAGGCTTCTCTGGAACCAAAGGAAGTCAGTGGGAAGGCCCTTCTGCACTGTGGTACCGACCCTATAAACAAGCTTGGTTCATTAACCTCTCCACTGGCGTCTGTGTGCCTGCAGATAGAGGCAAATGACCATTAGCTTTAAGTTGGGGTTTCCTGGCTTTGTGAAGTTTGACAACTCAAATGTTCTTCAATTGTGTTTGGGGTATGTGTGTTCTCAGTTTTTATAGTAGTCAGTTTAAAGGAATGAAGAGAGAGACATCAAATATTTATTTTAGTTGACAAGATAAATGTAAGCTGCCACTAGGAAGATATCTGGCAATTCTGAAAACTAGGTTTGTTTGTCCACTTCTAAAACATGCCTATTGTGTGCTTTTCAATGAATGGTACATTCATTAGATAAAGGATACCATCTTATCAGGTTGATTATAATAAACATTTACTCTGAACAGTTTAACTTAAGCATACTAATCTTGAAATGAAATTTCTATAGAGAGTGGAATCAGCTCTTTCCCAGAATCTCCATAGCTTCACTTTGAGGGTCTCTAGAAAATTCTAGACCAGCCCAGGAACAGAAGTAGTGTATCTCCAAATCAGTGATTCTGTAAATGGCTGGCCATTTGTGAGCAGGGCCCATCAGTACTTCTGATGCCCAGCCCAAGCTTGAAAGGCATTTGACTAGGCTGAGAAGAAATTTAATTGTAGGGAAGGAAGGTCCAGCACTGTCTTCTCTCTCCTTATTCTCCCCCAGGCTCCATCTTAGCTGAGGTACCATTGGGTGTCTGCTCCCAGCCAGACTACTGGGGCATATGTCTGCTGCTGCTGAGTTCAGAGACCTTCCCACCCAGTCTGAGTCTAGCTGGCTGGTGTGAGTGAGCTCTGGGCTGGGGTCCTGCTGGAATCTTTCTGGAGAAATCTCTGCTGGGCTCAATGAACTGAGGCTTAAGTTGCTTGGCCCTGCTGTACTACCCTTCTTTAACAAGGGCTTTAGTCCCTAGTCTCACCCAAGCCAAAAACTTGCCCTTCCTTGGACTCTTTCCCATCAAAACCAGGAACCTTACAGAATAGAGAAAGGATAGATTGAGTATCATGAGAGGTTTCTGCTGAAGGCCGTGTGTGTGCCTGAGTGAGCATGCTAGCATGCATTGACAGCTCCATCACTTTCTAGGAAGAAAAGTAGCTCATTAGTGCCCAAAAGTTATCCCTTGGCAGCATTGGGATAGACAGGACCTTGGTTGTACCTTGGGTCCAAAGAAAAACTCAGCCCACCTAGCAGCTGTTCAAGTATTTGCTGAGCACCTGGTAGTAGGGGAGACAAAGGGAGAAAGTAGCCCCTGAGTTTAGGGGTTGGCGACCTAGGAGGTGAAGAGACAAATGCATAATTATCTATGACATTGTGACACTCATTAGGACTTCATGAGAAGGAGACATTGGCAAAACCTGGAGGAATTAGAGAAGGCTCTCCGAAGAAGGTGAGGGCTTGAGCTGGCCCTGCAGTAGTCAGGGCTTGAAGCAGCAGGGAGGAGAAAAGGCCCACAAGTTCTGCAGCAATAATGAGTTTACCAGGTGTGGGAAGCTGTGAGGAGAGGGGTCTGCCAGGACAAGAGGTCACGCTACACATGCTGCAGATTAGTGGAAAATCAGATTGCTTGGAAGTCTAGATTATGGGGTGATTTAGAATGTAGGTAGAGTTTACTCTTGATGTGATTGGCAGTAAGGGAAGCTGGTGGGGTGGAAGTGATATTTTAGGATAGTTTAACCTGACAGACATATACAAGTTAACCAGTTAGGAGGGAGAGAGAGTAGAGACAGGAAACCAAGGATCCACTGCTTCTGCTTTCTGCTTCTGCTTTCTTGCCCATACTATCTGTTAATCCTGACATGGGTAAATGACAGGCCCATGCCCAAAGTCACACATTCTCAAATAGGGCTGGTAGAGATGAGAACAGAGAGCCTCACTTCTAACTTGTGATAGGCAAAGTAAACAGGATAATGAATTCATTAGAAAAAAAATGTGTAAGAGAAAGATTTTTGAAAAATAATACTTAGGTATTATGCCAATTGAAATAATATTTACATAGTAGGGAAAGCAGCTAATTTGGTATTTTGCTTATTTAATGATTCCAGGACAGATCAAATGGCCCTAAGAGTGTTAAGTGATTCTTCTTGATTCTCCACATTTGGGACAGCCAAGATAGTTATTCCAGAGCTGTCCATTTATCAGAGGGTGTAATGAGGAGTCCTTGGGTGGTGCAAATGGTTATCATGCTTTCAGTTAGCACTGAAAGGTTGGAGGTTCAAGTCCACCCAGAGGCACCTCAGAAGAAAGGCCTGGAGATCTACTTCCAAAAACTCAGCCGTTGGAAACCCTGCAGAGCACAGTTCAACTCTGACACACAGGGGGCACCATGAGTCAGTGTCGACTTGATGACAAACTGGATTGTTTTTTTAAAATTTTTTTTTACTGGTGATGAGGAGACACATTTCTATGACTATGGTTTTATGTTTCCTCCTCTCAGCACCCCTTGCCCTTCCCCCTTTCCTTGAAATAGGGAGAGACAAGTAGGAGAAGCTCTGGGAGACACACCTGATGTCTAAGAGGTATCTGACATTATGGGCAAGATTTGAGGGAAGCATTCACAGGAGTGAATTCTTAAACATACATGGGGTTCTCGCTGCCCAGGGCTCTGCTTACTCTGTGGTTAATAGAGACAAAGGTCCAGCTCTACATTTTTTTTCCCCACTTGGTGCCACATCATTTTCCCTTTTCATTTATATCACCTTCCACTAGATTAAGCTAGATAATAGTAATTAGGAGACCCCAGTTTTTATTCTTGCACTGTCCTGGGCCACTTTGTGTGGACATCAAGCAAATTGTCTGCCCTCCCTGGATCTCCTTTGTCTGCAAAACTTAGGGAGGTGATTTTTAAGTCTCTTGGAGAATAGGCATATGTGTGCATTGAGGTGGAAAGGAAGTCCCCTGAATAAGTGTTTTTCCTTCCTCCCCAAGCATGACTTCAGGAAGGGCAGGAACAGTGGGGTTTAGGTGGAGCCCACAGCTGTGGGTTGACCATGAAGTTGATTGCATGAATGGCCCCACCAGAACTCTGGAGTGCATTCATCTGAGTGGGTACATCTGATTTACCCTCTTGGGTTAGCTTTTTGAGCCCCTGCCCACATCCTACACCAGGTTAATATGATATCTCATCTCTACTTGCTTGTTTGTTTTTTTTTTCCCCCCTTAAATTCAGAATCACAGACCTAATTGGTTACCACCCTGAGGAGCTGCTGGGCCGCTCAGCCTATGAGTTCTACCATGCATTGGATTCAGAGAACATGACCAAAAGTCACCAGAACTGTAAGTTCTAGGGGCATCTCATGTGGCCTCCCTGTATCCATAGCATCTGGGCCTGAGTGGGGTGTGATTGGTAGGACAGAAGAAGATCTTATTATTTCCTTTACAGAGACACCATCTTGTATGGCAGAGAAGACTTACACCCTCATGATGGCTAGAGAACCAGGACTGTTTCATGCAAATTAGAATGAGGACCCCTTCTTCACACAAACACACCCCACCAATGCACATGGCTTAGAGAATAGGAATGAGCTGGATCTCAATCTCCATGGACCACCCCCACTAAGCACCTTTGCAGTGAACAATCTGCACAAGCATATGGAACAACATTGTAGAGAGCAATACAAGGCAACCTATAATGAGCTTGTGTTATGTGCTATACATGCAAGTGCATCCATTGAGAGAAGATGAGGACAAGGGGAGTTAAGGGAAGGAGATAATAGAACACTTGAGTAGGATGGGATAGGACTGGGCTAGGCAGAGGAGAAGACTATATGTCACCAACTTAATATTTCACTTTGATGGAAGAATAGATATATGTTGATATTTAGTGCTGTATATTAGAGGTGGGCCATGGTTCTCTAAGAAATTACTGCTTGATCAAGGGAACTCAGTTGAAGGGGAGGATCTTTAAGCAACCAGTGATGGCACATGGAAGCTGTGCATGCTTTTTAGCTTGAAAGAAACGAAGTTATGAAAGAGTTCTGGAGCAATGATGCCGAATAGAACTTTTGGCAGTGATAGAAATGTTTTATATCTGTGTTATCTGCATGTGGCCATTGGTACTTGAAATGTAACTAGTATAACTGAGGAACTGAATTTTTAAAAATTTTTAACTTTAATTAAATTTAAATAGCCACAGGTGGTTGATGGGTACCAACAGGGTAGTTCTAGAGCTTTCACTTGGCCGTGCCGTTACAGGCTTCCCTGCAGGTGATCTGGGACAGTTTCATTTAATCCATACAGCACATGAGCATACAAGGTCTGTGGACCTACAACCTTGTACTTGGCCCACTGGAGGAGAGAGAAATTGGTAGGATTAATCCCTGCCCTAAAGGATCTTATTTCTGAAGGGAAAAAGGAAAACTATGGTCTCCTTGGGAGCACAGTAGCTCACACCATTAGCTTCAGTTTCTAGCGTGGTGTCTAGTACAGAGCAGATATTAAATGAATGATAAACTTATGTGTCAAAAAAGTATTTGCGACATCCTGCTTCAAAACAAATCCCCACAGTAGTGCAGAAGGAGGTGCTGAAAAGATTATAGAAGGTTTGAAAGTGGGTGTCTGAGAAGATCCACAGTGGCCTTGCTGGCCTTGGACTTCCAGGACTGGCTGTGGCTGCAAATAGCAATGAAGAAAATGGAAGGGCATCTATTTGTGCACTGTCCCTATAGCCATCCATCTATCCCAAGGAGCTCTGGTGGCATAGTGCCTAAGGCACTTGACTGCTAACCAGAAGGCTGGCAGTTCAAACCCACCAGCCACTCCTCAGAAGGAAGATAGGGCAATCTACTTCCATAGTGATACCACCTTGGAAACCCACAGAGGGGTCGCTATGAGTTGGTTCCGACTCCACGGCCATGAGTTTGGTTTGGATTTTGGTTTAAGAAATTATATCTTCTTTCTCATTGGTTCCTTGCCTCTTCACTGTGTTTTTTGGGTTTGATCTGACAGTGTAACATGGTCCTTTATAATATCTCAGAGAAGTTTCTCACTTTGCTCTCTGCCATGGAGGCAATTTTGACTCACAGTGACACCATGGGAGTGAGAACTGTGCTCCACAGGGTTTTTAGTGGCTGATTTTTCTGAAGTAGATTGCCAGGCCTTTCTTCTGAGGCACCTCTGGGTATACTGAAACTTTGAACCTTTAGGTTAGCCGCCACCTAGGGACTGTTTAATCGTTGTTGTGTGCCTTCTGACTCAGCAATCTTTATGACTGAGTGGAACTGTTTCAGAGGGTTTCCAAGGCTGTAATCTTTACAGGAGCAGATTATCAGGTCTTTCCTCCCACTGAACTGCTGAATGGCTTCATGCTGCCAACTCCTCAGTTAGCCACCAAGTACTTTATCACTGTGCCACCAGAGGTCCTATTTAATTATTAGACACTCTAAAAGGCAATTCACAACACAATAGAAATCACAAGCTGTCTTCTTTCCCCAGTGGAGGCCAGTAAAGCAGCTCTGAGCTCAGAGCCTGCTACCTAGTCAGAAAAATCCAGCAAAGGTTTGATAAGCCTGGATGAATTGGAAACTGGGTTAGTGTCAATTGATAAAGAAGCACTTATTCCTGTTTCTCTCTTTCTCTTGGATTTGTCTTTGGGTCTGTGCAAATGAAGTTGCACACAGACTCACACTTATGCTAGAGAGTAATTGTAGTTCCAGGCTTGAGGCTGGTCCAGATCTACACACAGGTGTCCTGAATTCACACATGTATGCGCGTGTCTCAGCCTGTAAACGTTTAACATTGAAATGACTGGGGAAGCTCAGTCCTCAAACCAGACTTAGTTAATTGAAAGCCATCATCTTCAAATGGATTTGTTATTTATGCATTGTTACTTTCATGAGGTGGGGGTGCTCAGCTTCTCTTTGTTGTATGAGGACATTATGTGCTTTTAGGGAAACAAGATTAAAAGCCATAAAAAGCCTATCTATGAAATAGCAGGTCCCTCACCAAGGCTGGCATTAATGAGCAGATGATTAGAAAGCTGGTGTAATTATATTCCACTGACAGAGCAGATCCTTGCCTGTGAGCGCTAGAAATGGAGTCAAAACCTTTGCTCCCTGTACTGTTTAATCAACAAGAATTAGAGCCCTGAATTTGGTCTGCATTAGAACCATCTAAATAAGTTAACTCCAGGGACTTGAAATTGTGCAAGAATCATTTTACCGTGGCAAGGGAGCCTTGATGGGACCAATAACAGAACAGGGAAGACAAAAGCTGTTTCTCTTGGCCAAGGTGTGCATGATTGTTTAGGACAGCAGCAAGAGCAAATTTACTCTTCCCAGTGCTGTGGCTCAAGCGAATGTAGTAAGGGAGCGCTAACCTAGGAGGCGTAAGACCTGTCATCTTGCCCAGACTCTGTCACTGTTGTTCTGTGCGACAGCAAGCAAGTCACAACCCCTCTGGCCTTAGTTTCCTCATGGTAAAAGAAGATAATAGCTATCCTCTGTGCAACATAGAATTTTGCTAAAAAGGTTAGGCTAGCATTATACAACCACTTTGGAAAATAATTTGGCAACTTCTTAGGAAGTAAATACATACTAAGCATGTAACCCAGCAATTGGACTCCTAGGTACATCTGAGAGAAACGGGAAAATATGTCTATGCAAAGACTTGTACACAAAGGTTCATAGCAGTTTTATTCATAATAACCCTAAACTGGAAACAACTCAAGTATTCATCAGTGGGCAAAAGGATAAACTAATTCTGATATATTCATTAAATGGAATAAAGAGGGACACACTAAAAAGAGATACAACAATGTGATGAATCTCAAAAACATTATGCTGAGTGAAAAGAAAGCAGACACAAAAGAGTACATACTGTATGATTCTACTTACACAAAAACTTAGAAAAGACTATTTCAATATCTGGTGACAGAAAACAGATCAGCAGTTGCTGGGGCAGGAGTGGGCATGGGGATTGACTAGGAAGAGGTATAAGGAAGTTTGAGGGTGACAGGAAAGTTCTTACCTTGATTCTGGTGATAGTGTGACATGGGTGCATACATTTGTCACAGTTCATTGGTCTGTACTCTTAAAATGAGTGCATTTTTATTGAATATAAATTAGACCTAAATTAAGTTGTTGGGCTTTTTTTTTTTTTTTTGACAAAAAACAAGCCAACAAAAAAAGGCTTAGACAGAAGTCTTTAATTCAGACTATAAATCCATCTACTATTTTCACTAAAAGGGGGTCTCTCAGAAAATCACTAATAGTCTTAAGCCTTAGTTTCTTCAGATTTAAAATGGGAATAAGAATAGATACTTCATGGTGTTGTTACATATTAAATGAGGTATGATAATATACAGAGTGCTTTTATGTGCCAGCTGCTGTTTTTATTGCTTTATGGAAATGAATTCTGTGAGATAGCTGTGAACCCTTCAAAGCACTATATAAATATACATTACAGTAGGTCCTACACCTTGAGGTGCTTGATCAATTTGGGAAGAGGGAAAAATGTATCACACAAACAAGTAAAGGATTACTAACAGCATTAACGTGAACCAAACTGTAGTCCTTAACCACACACAAGTGGCAGAGGGGGCAGTGGCCTGTGGCCCAAGGACCTACCAGGAGAACTGGGGAGACTCTGGGTTTACAGAAAACATGGATATTATCCCACAAGGCCCTTCACAACATCAACTACAACCATGTAATACTGTCCCTGAGAAGGCCTGGGCAGTATACATATTAGTTACTTTGAAGAAAACATGGCTTTTCCTTAACAGCATTAGCATTCATCAGTGATATTTAGTCAACATCTGTGTACCTGATAAGCCAAGAGGCACCTTGAATCCTCACTACAAACTGATGCAGTATATTGGATAGCTAATGATAATTATTATCATTACTCTGGTTATTAATCACCATCCCATTTTGCAATGAGGAGACCAAAACCAAGAAGGATTATTCCTTTCCCAGAGTCCCCAAGCTAGCAAGAGTACCTAATCTTTCCACCATGCCACTTCCCAGTTCTCCTTGATTAAAGGGCTTCTGAATCAGAGTTCTGAGGAAGGAATTGCCATGGAATGAACAGAAATGGGCAAATCGGGAAACTACCAGATATCCTAATGTTGTTGTTGTTGTCATATGCCATCAAGTCGGACCTGACTTATAGCGATCGCTCCTTGGGTTTCTGAGGCAGTATCACTAAGGAAGTAGATTACTCAACCTTCCTTCCAAGGAGTGGTTGGTGGGTTTGAACCACCAGCCTTCTGGTTAGAAGACAAGTGCCTTAGGCACTACGCCACCAGAGCTCCTTACATTAGTAGACTTAAATTCAAAGGAGTGTATTTATTCATATTGAGTGGGAGCAGCAGATCGAGTATTTTGGGCTGGAGAAGAGGGCACTCCAGGATATGGAACCCCTTTCCCTAGTGGGAGAACATTTAGAACAATCTGGAAAGCCAAAGAAGTCATAAGCAGGCAGTCTAGCTGGGGAGCTGGGAGAAGGAACATGAAGGGCCTGTCACAGCTTATGAAGAGGCTATATGTAGGCTGCTGGGACCTCAGTCCTTCCTCAACTCCAGCTTGGGTGGGGGTGGGGGTGGGAAGATGGGCAGGAGGCTGTTGCCTCTGCCTTTGGTGTGGATCACAAATCTTCCATGGCCTCAAAGGTGCCGGGCCTGATAGATGACCTAGAAAAATCAGGAATATAGATTTTAAAAGGGGAAAAAAAAGCAAACCTGATTTTATTGAACAAGCAGAATATGTGTGGTGAGTCGGAGGAAGGCAGGCTTTCTCCAAGCTACTTGCAAGTGTCCATTCCCTGGAGCATTTGCCAAATGAGGCATTGCTCTCTCCACTTACATCTGAGCTGGTAGATGAGGATAATTGTCAGGGGATTGGTGATGGGTCAGCAGCAAAGCAGCCTAGTGTAGTGGGCCCCTCCCTCACTGATAGGCCATGGGCAAGCCATTTAACTTCTCTGGACCTCCTTTCCCTGTATTTAAAGTGAAGGATTGGGTGAGGTGATCTCTAAGCTCCCTTCCCCAGTCCTCAATGTCCTTGTACCCGGTCCTGGCAGTTCTCCCCTGGACTACTCCCAAGGGGGTCTCCCTGCCCTGCGGTACACTCTACTCACCCAGCTCTCTGACCTGTGGATCTATTTCTCCTCCCCTAGTGTGCACCAAGGGTCAAGTGGTGAGTGGCCAGTACCGGATGCTCGCAAAGCACGGGGGCTATGTGTGGCTGGAGACCCAGGGGACAGTCATTTACAACCCCCGCAACCTTCAGCCTCAGTGCATCATGTGTGTCAACTATGTCCTAAGGTGAGCACAGCGAGGGCTGGTGGGCCTGTGACTGGAGATGGGGTAGAGTGCCCAGCTTTGCAGACTGAGGATACAGGCCCAGGGAAACCAGGCCTCTCAGAACTCTGGACTCGTCCCCATCTAGGAGCTCTGCAGTGCTAATCAGTGTGACTCAGGGGACCTTCCGTGGGTGTTTTGGGAGCAGTGGGGTACTTGGGCTCTCCTTTTATGGTGTTTTTCCTGCCCTTCCCCTTGCCTGTCATTATCTCATTTATCCCATGCCCCAGATGGGAAGGCAGATAACACACAGTAGGCAAAAATTTTCTGGACTGGGAAAAAGGGAAAAGAATTGCTAAAGCTTTCTGGGAAAAGAAAATGTAGCATCTTTACTATATAGCACCTGGGAGGAAAGGCAGATAAAGTCATTGCTAAGGTAAGACAAAAACACTCCCATTGCTTGTACATGCCCATCTCAAGTACAGTAAAAAAACCACATCCAAGCAGATATGTGTTCAGAAGGCACTGAAGTTGTCGCTACCCACATGGCCAACAAACATACTGCGTAGCTCTGGGCACACAGTGTCCCTAGCCATCATTTTGGCTGAGAGGCTTATCTGTCAGGTTTTCTATGAGTCTGGGGAAGCAACGGGATTTATTAGGAAATGTGAAAGGTCTGAAGTACCCTCTTATCCCATCAGTGAGATTGAGAAGAACGATGTGGTATTCTCCATGGACCAGACTGAATCCCTGTTCAAGCCCCACCTGATGACCATGAACAGCATCTTTGACAATAGTGATGAGGTGCCCGTGTCTGAGAAGAGCAACTTCCTGTTCACCAAGCTGAAGGAGGAGCCCGAAGAGCTGGCCCAGCTGGCCCCCACTGCAGGAGATGCCATCATTTCCTTGGATTTCGGTGGGTGATTCTTACCTGAGTGGGGGCCAGTGGCATCCTATTGGGGTGGAGGCAGTTCTTATCATAACAGGCCTCCTGCTACAGTTTTTCCTTAATCAGAGCTACCCCTTCCCTGAGTCTTGCTTATCATCTATTAGGCCACAGAGTGGCCAGATTTTGTGGTGGGCAAAAAAGAATGTCATATATAACTGCCACTGAATAAGGCTGTCCTATGTCTGACTTCATAGCTTGCTGAGCCAGGTGGGTTGTGAGAGGAAGGTGTTTGAAGAGTTGATTCTCTACCACAGGCAGTGAGAGTTTGAGGATGTGGGTGCAGGAGGTGGGGGGTGTCAAGATCTGGAACAAACACACTGGGATGCTTTCACAGAAGAGAGGGCAGATTCCACCTGGGTCTTGAAGGATAAATAGAGTATTTTTAGGTAGAGGGATAAGTTGAAATAATGCTGAGGGGAATCATTTCAATAGCATGAACACAGAGAAGATTCAGATTCAGGATGAAGCTCTCAAATACACTGTTTCCATAAGACATGTGCCCACCTCTCTGGGTACAGAGATCACTGGGGCCCAAGGCAGAGTTTTCAGCACTTTCTTCCATTCCCATTCTGGAAACATGATGTATGCCCTGGGAAGCCCCCTCCATGCCACCCCTTCCCCAGCCCTGCAATGGCTACTGGAACAATAGCTTTACCCATCTCTGCTTACCCTGACTGACCCACCTTACATGTTGGCCTTCACTAGTGTTCTTGAGAGGCCACTTGAAAATCACAATTTTAGAGATTCCAAAAGGGCAGAAGGCCCTTAGAAAAGATGTCTTGCAACTTCCCTGTTTTGCAGTAGCACTGAGGCAAATTGCCTAATTCTCTTCCCTCTGGTAGCATAGTGCCTAAGGCACTTGAGTGCTAACCAGAAGGCTGGCGGTTCAAACCCACCAGCCACTCCTCGGAAGGAAGGTTGGGCAATCTACTTCCTAGTGATACTGCCTGGCAAACCCAAGGAGGGGTCGCTGAGTCAGGGCTGACTCGAGGCAAATAACAACAACAACAACCTTCTCATTTACATTTTGGATTGCTTGTCTGTGAAGAACAAGCAGCCCCTGATACATTTAGTCTCTGGAAGTTAAATGCCATAGGAGGGTGTTCCCTTGAAAAGGAATCTATAGGTGGAATTATAGCACTGATAACCACTTGCTGCTGAGTCAGCTCCAACTTATTTCATGGTGGCCCCACGTGTGTCAGAGTAGAGTGTGCTCCATGGGGTTTTCAATGGCCGTGATCTTTTGAAAGCAGATAACCAAGCTTTCTCCTGAGGCACCTCTGGGTGGACTTCAGCCTCCAACCTTTTAGTTAGCAGCTGAGCTTCATAATACTTTGTGCCACCCAGACTCTCCAAATGGAATGTTAGCCCCAGTTAATAGCCCATTTGTCCCAGCTAAGCCTCAGAGTGCAAGGGCTTAACCCTTCTAGGGCCCTTTGGGCACCCTTTGAGCTCTCTCTGTCCTGGGGTGCACCCAGTGGTTATAGGTGTTAACCAAATCAGGCCCATTTCTCCACAGGGAACCAGAACTTTGAGGAGTCCCCAGCCTACAGCAAGGCTATCCTGCCCCCAAGTCAGCCGTGGGCTGGGGAGTTGAGCCACAGCACCCGGAGAGAGGCGGGAAGCCTGCCCGCCTTCACTGTGCCCCAGGAAGCCGCCCCAGGCAGCACCACTCCCAGTGCTACCAGCAGCAGTGGCTGCTCCACGGTAAGCTGCCTTTAGGCCAGTACTGTGGGTGGGGCTGAGGAGAGGGCAGGCGCCTCCTGGCTTCCTCTGGGTCTGGCTAAAGGGTCAGTCCAGACAGAAATACTGTTTTCCTTCACCTCTTCAAGCCATCACAGGTCATACGTAGGGTGACTGTGCCCCCTTGCCCAGTGTTAGAGTTGTTTGCGTACTTTTATTACCATCTCCCACCCCACTGAAATGATAAATTACTTGAAGACAGGGGCTGAGTCCCCCACAGCTTTGAGCCCCTACCTCAGTCCTTGTGCAGAGCAACAATTGGTCTGCACAGGGCAAGAGCTGTATAGTTTTCAGAGCCCTGCCAGCCACAGCCTTTAGCTTGTTTGCTCAAGACAACTTGTGAAGTCTCATTAGTCTCATTTTATGATGAGGAAAGGGAAGTTCAGAGAAGGTGATGAGTTGACCTAATTCACACAGCTCATATATTGTGACCCCGTCTATAAATACTTGTTCAGTGGAATGGGTAGAATTGAATTTGTGGGATCCTTCCACATTGGCCTCCTAGGGAGACCAGTGCCATATCCTGTCCTTGACTTGGTCCTCTTCCTTCCTGGCCCCCAGCCCAGCAGCCCTGGAGACTATTACACATCTCTGGATGATGATCTGAAGATTGGAGTGATCGAGAAGCTCTTTGCCATGGACACTGAAGCAAAGGATCAGTGCAACACCCAGGTAGGTGGCCATGGAGAAGCTGGGGGTGTGTGGTGTGCCTGCCACCTGGTGAGTGATAAAGATTCATGTCCATTCTTACATCCCTTTGTTGCAGTGCTTGGCCAAGGTCCTGGTTTCTCAAATGGGAGAGGGTGCAGAGACATGGAACCTATGGTCATGTCCTTCTCCCACTTCTGCCCTCTGCTTTACCCAGGTCACCTCCAGCACTTACATTCTCACCTCTTCACTTATTTATCTGCCACTTACTTGGATAGCTTTCTTAGAACATATGACAAGCAAAACCACAGCGCAACCATTCTTTAAGGAAGAAGCCCTATGCATAAGGAACATGCCCAGGTTTATAAAACAGAGGAAAATTACTCCTTTCACAGATATATTCATCTTAAGATTCTTTGAAATAATCATATTTTTTGTACATTTTTAAAATGATATTTGACTGACAATTCTCGTTTACATACAATTTTTCAGAAGCATATTTATTATTACATAGGCCAAGTGTTCTTAGAAAAATTGTTCAACAGGGATGAAATGGTGGGTTTCATAAAGCCCAAGAAAACACCATAAATTCCACATTCATCTTAATCTGGATTATTCACCCAAATTTCTCTCTTGTTCCTCAGTTTGGATATTTATCCTGCCTGGCACAAGTTCCAGCTATTCTGCATAACTTTCCCTATTTCAGCTCTTCACATCTCCCTTTCTGTCCTCCGAACTCCTAAAGGATATATTACTTAGTACTTAATTATAACCATCTGCTTCTGTTCTTTAAGCTTTCCTGTAGTTCTCATCATTAATAAGCTGTAGCATACCCCTTCTATCCCCAGTAAGGCTATAATTCTCTGAAGGTAGAAACTGTTTTTTTCTACTTCTGCCTGAGAGTATTCCCTATAGGATCCAGCATGTACCAGGAACCTAGGGAATAACCTCCAAAAGTCCCTCTCCCACTGTGACTTGGCTCCTACCCCACACTCAGCTCACAGATACACCCTGGACACTTAACTATATGCTTACACCCGTGCCAGGGAAAGTGAAAGAGATGAGGGAAAGGGCCTTTGCTCCCAAGGAGCTAAAGTGTGGCCCATAGGCCGGAGTGCTATAGGAGGGCAGGGAGAGGAGGAGTCACCGCAAGCTACAGTAGGCCTGGGTGGCTTTATGGAAGAGGTGAGCTTGCTGGGCTGTGAGAGAGATGGGGGGTTTAGGCAGTTAGGAGGAGAGAAGAGAGCATTTCAGGCTGGGTTGGGGTGGGGGGACCTCAGTGTGGTGAGTGGAGGGGGTGACTGAGTGGAGCATGGAGATCCATGGCATAGGATGAAGAGGAGATAAAGTGCATAGGAAGGATAAGGATAGCGTGTGCGGGAAAACCTCACATGGACAAGTCTGAACTTTTTGGCAGGCTGTAAAGAGCCCCTGCAGGTCCCTAGGTAATTCTTTGTCCTTGACTACTAACCTAAAGGTTTGTGGTTGACACCCACCCAGTGACACTGTGGAAGAAAAGCCCAGTGATCTGCTTCTGTAAAGATGAGAGCCAAGAAAACCCTGTGAAGCAGTTCTACTCTGTGACCCATGAGGTTACCATGAGTCGGAGTTGGCTAGATGGCAACAGGTTTGGTTTGGGTTTGGTTCAGGGAGCCAGTGAGGGTGTTTGAGCTGGAGAGTGACGCTACTGAAGCTGTGCTTAGAAGCTTGACACTGGCAGTGCCTACAAGGGATGAGGGGCTGAGCTAGAACAGTGTCTGTGAGGCTGCACCAACCACTTAGTCTCTGCCCTGCACCACCTCTTTGCTTTCTCTCTTCTTACTCAGACTGATTTCAATGAGCTTGACTTGGAGACTCTGGCTCCCTACATCCCCATGGATGGAGAAGACTTTCAGCTAAGCCCCATCTGCCCAGAGGAGCGGCTCCTGCCGGAGAACCCCCAGTCTAACCCTCAGCACTGCTTCAGCACCATGACAAACATCTTCCAGCCCCTGGCCCCAATGGCCTCTCAGAGCCCCTTCCTCCTGGACAAGTATCAGCAGCCACTGGAAAGCAAGAAGACAGAGCCCGAGCACCGGCCCATGTCCTCCATCTTCTTTGGTGGTGGGAGCAAGGCGTCCCTGCCACCATGCTGTGGCCAAGCCAGCACCCCTCTCTCCTCCATGGGGGGCAGGTACAATACACAGTGGCCTCCTGATCCACCATTACACTTTGGGCCCACGAAGTGGCCTGTTGGAGATCAGCATACTGAGTCCTTGGGGACATTGCCGCTGGGGCCCCCTGTCACCTCACCTCATCTGTCCATGTTCAAGAAGAGGTGAGTAACAGAGATACTTGGTTGCATCCAAAGGGGCTGTGCTGAACAGGAAGGGACAGATAGACATATACCGTGAGGTTTCTGGGGCCCCAAAAAGTTCCCTTCCCCCATCCCCTCATCTCCCACTCCATGGCTTTCAGATTTTCTGAAAGCCCATCTTTCCATGCCAAGAGCTCAGGCTTAGGGATATCACCTTGAAGTATATGAGACGAGCTTTTATCAGGGCTAGAGATCAAGAGCAGACTGAATATAGAAGGGAGGAGGTGGCTTATCCAAGACCTTGAACACTGGTGTCTCCATCCAGATGACACCTTCAAGTGTCTGTCTTGTCCAGGGTTCATCAGCCAAACCACAGAATATAGCAAAGTATTTGAGTGACTATCCCCAGTTCTCTCATGGAGTCCTGGATGAGAAAAGTGGAAGCATTCACATCCATTTCCTTGCCCTTCAGCTGCCCAGGATCCCCAGCATAGCAGCCTCCCTGGGTGGCACTCAGTCCCAATTGCCTTCCCTTTCCTGTCTTCCCTTGGCTCCTTCTAGTCTCCCCAGCATGATCCATTCTGACCAGCTGAGAATTGATGTAAGCTTGGAGTAGCAGGGCAGTCCTAATGGTTGGTATGTGAATTCTAGCTCCCAGGCTCATTGGTTATTCTTCTTAGGGGCTCTTGCCCTTTAACAAGAACCCTAATTGGTCTTCAGGTACAATTATTAACAGAGGAACAAAGGGAAGGGGAGTAGTTCAGGACAGGGGAGAGAGAGCAGGGGGTGGGGGGCAGATGAAACTCTCCTATGGACTGAAATCACCTTGCCTGGGCAGCCACCAGTGTAGCCAAAACCACAGGCTGCATGGGCACACTGGTTGGGCAAGGATGGGTGGTGATGATGACAAATTGTTTAACATATCATCAAGTGGAGGAAACTGAGCAAGGGGGCAGAGGCACAGCTCAAGCCCATGTGCCCATCACCTGTCCTCTGAGATTCTGCCGTGTTGTCTTAGAGGTATCACAGCCATCAATATTAGGAAGGGTCCTCTGAGATCCAAGAAAGGCATAGGGTGGTGTGGTCTCCAGACTCCCTCACGGCCCACTTTCTTGGGCTCAGCAGGTCTGCAAAGGGGTTCGGGGCTCGGGGCCCAGATGTGATGAGCCCAGCCATGGTAGCCCTCTCCAACAAGCTAAAGCTGAAGCGACAGCTGGAGTTTGAGGAACAAGCCTTCCAAGACATGAGCAGGGTGAGCCACTTCTCAACTGGCACTGCTGTGGGTTCCCTCATGGCCCTCGGCCCTAGGCGGGAGTCTGCTGAAAGCACAGATCCAGGCCGATGGGATGTTTGAATACTGGCTGTGAGGAGCTCAGTGTGCCCACTTGGGGCAACAGGGAGGGCGGGATGTGGCCCTTTCTAAGGAGCGAGCAGCCAGGCTCACTGTGGGCACAGCTGCTCACCACAGGAACCTGGTTCTCTGGTTCTCTCCCTTCTACATCTGCCCTTCCCACACCCAGGGGGACCCGCCAGATGGCAGTGCTTCACATTTGATGTGGAAACGGATGAAGAGCCTCAGGGGAGGAAACTGCCCCTTGATGTCAGACAAGCCACTGAGAGCAAACATACCCAATGGTGAGCAGCAGGGAGCAGCCCTGGGCTTCCTGGGGGTACACCAGCTTCCAACCTCACTGAGTCTTGGTTTCTCCCTTATCCAAAAGGAGCAGTGTTCTCTGCCCCACCTTCTATACACACAGCTGCCCCCTTCCTGGTTTAAATTATGCTGTCAGAAATCTCTGGGCTCCAAGGTCCCAGGACCTGACTCTAGTGCTGATGGCTCTAAGGCCTTTTGAAAAGGAAGGGGGCATGCGCTGAGGAGGAAGGCTGGCCAGTGCCGGCACTACCCTCATTCTTTGGCTTTGGTCTTTCAGATGAGTTTCCCCAAAACCCTATGAGGGGCCTAAGCCAGCCCCTGAGACACCTGCCACCACCACAGCCACCATCAGCCATGAGCCCTGGGGAGAACATCAAAAATGGGTTTTCCCCACAGTGTTACGCCTCCCCATACCAGGACTACAGCCTGCCAGCAGCTCACAAGGTGTCAGGTGGGTGTACACGGGAACTGGAGCCCCATCCCAAGGTCTGATGAGTGTGGGAGGCCTGAGGGGCTGGGGAGATGGGACAGGCCAGCTGCCCTCACATAGCAGGAGTTTGGTAACCTTGCCTGATTTGGCTTGAAGAAGAGAAAAATTACCTAGCACTTAGAAAAGCATCAGAGATTTCAAAAACTGCCTTCATTGAGTCCCTGCTACACCCAGGTCCCCCACTAGGTACTTTACATGGAAACTCTGTGGCGGTGCTCGGTGCTCGGCTCCTTGGCAGCAGCCCACCTCTCCTCCCATCCTGCGTGGACCTCACCTGGTACAGGGAAGTGCTCAGCAATGACTTGGGAAAAGAACTGCTTTCCCAGGGCTCAGACCCCCTACTAAAATGAGAATTTGATAGAGCTGTTTTGTTTTTGGAGCACCTGGGTAGTACAAATGGTTAACTCGCTTGGCTGCCAACTGAAAGTTTCAATGCACCCAGAGGTGCCTTGGAAGAAAGGCTTGGTGATCTCCCACTGAAAAATGAGCCACTGAAACCCTTTGGAGCACAGCTCTTCACTGACATATGGGGTTGCCGTGAGTCAGAATTGACTCAACAACTGGTCTTCCCCTCCAGGTTCCCTGTCACCTGATTATGTAATAACTCCACAAGGTCCTGCTGAGCGCTCAGTGATCAGGTCCCACTGGGAGGGGGAGATCAAGACATGGCTACATACCCAAAATACAAACTCAGGCTAGAGAAGGAGAGCAGAAAATGTAGATCCCAGAGAATTGGGGACTTGTTTGGCCACATCTAGAAGGCTGCACCATTCTGGAAACTAAGGCTATTGACTGAAAGGAGTGTTTTTAGAAGAACAAGGAGGATAGGAGGGACTGTGGGAGGGCTGAAGCTGCAGTATGGGTGTGTGCGGGACAGTTGAAAGAGAAGAAAGAGTGGAGGAGAGTGGAGAGTGGGAGAGGCGAGGGCCAGGAGAGGGACATCACAAGGGTGAGTGCAAGGAAGAGCTTGCTGCCAGGGAGAGGCGGCCACCTTGGGCTGGGCAAGCTCTCCTCTCCTGACAGTATTGCAGCAGAGGTTGGCAGGCCATCTGCCAACAGCGCGCCAGTGGGCAGAAGACATCCAGGGTTCTCTCCACCCTGAGTCCAGGAGCTTGTTTCTTTGACTCAGTTCTTCATGTTGCCATATGCCTCATGCCTCATGAACATACTTGGGGCATCATTCTGAGTTCAAGACATTCACAAAGAACATGCTTCTAGGAGGGTGGCCTGGTGAGCTCTTGGGGGCTTGGGGACCTATCCTGTGGGACTCTTTTTTGAGAGTGTTGCTCTGTAGTCACCTGATCCCTGCCCTCTACCCTATCTGTCTTCAGCTCTTACCATCTTGCTAAATATAGTTGTCTCTGTGGAAAGGTTTTGGCATCAACATAATTCATGATTTTGAAAAAATATTCCAGACTTTGTCCTGAACTAGGATGATTTCCTCAGCAATGGAGTTTGGGGCAAATTATAGTCCAGCGATTAAGAGTCCAGTCTTTAGAGCCAGCAGGCAGCTCTGGGTTTAAATTCAAGCTCTGCTATTTACTAACTGGATGACTGAGCAAGTCAGAAAGCTTAAATGAGAAATTTGCATGTGAAGTGTTGAGTTTGGTGACTAGTATAAATCGGTGCTCAATAAATGGTAGCCAGCCTTAGTATTCCTGTCATGAACTGTTTGAGTTTCCTTGAAATCAAGGGAAAGTCATATTCTTCTCAACTCATTTCTGACCAAGAGTAAAAGGGGGACAATGAGAAAGAGTAAGTATCCATGATACTGTGAGGACTTCAGAGAGGCATGAGACCAGCCTCTGCCCTCCATGTGAGTGTGGCTGAGGGAAGCAGGCAGGCATAGGCTGGCAAGAGTCTGGGTCGGGAGGGAGAGGGCACTGGGGGATGAGGCTTTGCATATGAAGGCCAGGGAAAGGAGAGCAGCCCCTCAATTTAGAGGAGCAAAAATGAAGAGCTTCCAGACTATCCAGTCCTCCTTCCTCCTGGAGGAGGGCCAGGTAGGGCGGTGTCCACAGGCTGACACCTCCTTTCCTGGGAAATGGCAGGTTTGACAGCTGGGAGTTTCCCCTTTGTCCCTCTCTGTGTCTAGGGTGGCCCAGGGGTGAGGAGGGAGGCCTGCCACGGTTAGCGATCCTGACTGGATTATCAGGGCTGTGAATTACAGAGAAGGACACAGGCGTGTGTATGTATCTGCATGTGTCTGTGTGTACATACGTGCGTGTGCACATGTTTGTGTGTGTGCACATGTGCATGTGCATGATGATTCAGATTTCCCTCTCTCCACTCAGTGTGTCTCCCTGCTGCCAGGGCATGGATGTGCAGGTGTTCAGCCACCCCAGCCTTGCCCATATACTTGGGTTCCCTCATTCCCCCAGTCCAGGAAGCTATCATGGGGACTTCATTCCACACCCGCCTCCCTCTTCCTGAATTCTGTCTCTGCTGCCCGCTGTCTTCATCACACACTTCATCTCTGACTTGGGTCTCAGCACTCACCTGCTGAGCTGAGTCTTGAGACAGACACATTGTGCTGCTGAGTGCATCCTCTGAGCTGGGAGTAGGTCACTGGGAACGGAGTGAGATTAGGGCTGGCCTACCCATACTCTTCTGTCACTGAAACAGGAAATGCATCTTTCCTTCCCCTGTGCCTATTTCATCCCTGTTAGCTTCTTATAGAATTAGACACTTCCCCGAACATTCCATTTAGGGCTTTTAAAATATGGTGCCATTTTTTTTTCTTTCAGGGATGGCCAGCCGGCTGCTCGGGCCCTCATTTGAGCCCTATATGCTGCCTGAATTGACCAGATATGACTGTGAGGTGAATGTTCCTGTGCCCGGAAGCTCCACGCTCCTGCAAGGAGGGGACCTCCTCAGAGCCCTGGACCAGGCCACCTGAGCCAGGGCCTCCCCCCTCGGCAGGCCCCTGCCACGCCGCCCGCCAGCTTCACTCTCTAAGTCTATTTTTGCAACTAGATATTTCTAACACCAACACACTTTTTACAAGATGTACTTAACTGCAAACTCGCCCAGGTCACCAAGTAGTGGCCTTTTTTCTGAAGATGCTCACTTTATTATCCATGTTTTAAAAATATACAGTTGTTATACCTGCTACATTTTGCTCTGTCAATGAAAATGTTCTTTAGTTTTATAAGATTTTTCTTTCCCCACCTTCAATTACTTCTAATTTATGTTTTCTATAGGTCTGCCCCTACTCCCACAATATCTAACAAGTTTGGTTTATGTTTGTTCTCCTGTCAGGAAAGCTTTGGCTTCATTTAACACAAAAGACTTGTTGTTGTTGCCAAAGAGAAACAAAAAATGATTTTGCCTTCCAAACTTGATCTGTGGCCTTTCCTTCCCAAAGCCCTTTTCCTTTTTAAAACCTAATCATCGCAGTGTAAATTTCAGTCTTTTTAAAGCCAACTCTTTGCTCTCATTTTGATACCAACTTTTGATGGGGAAAAAAAAAAAGAAATGTGAAAATGAACTCCAGTGTATGTGGTTATCTATGAAGGTTGCACAAGCTGGGTTTTCCTAAACTGGTGTTTTTTTCCCTCTCATTTGGTGGATTTTTTTTCTTTCTTTTTTTTTTTTTTTTACTGCTCAAAAGCATAACTGAGTTTTGGTTTTTTTTTAAAGAAAATTTATATCTGGGTTAAGTGTTTCATCACATATATGGGTACTTTGTAATATCTAAAATCTTAGAAACAGAAATGGAATACTGTTCACAAAATCACTTTAAAACCTTTTGTAAGCTGTTAATTTTATTGTTCTTTGTGTTGCTGACACTGCAGAATTGTACAGTATCCCATGGCCCTGTACTAACACTGCTCAAGACCTTTCTTCTGTTGGCTTTTTGCTTTGTGATATGCCATAGGCGTGAAAAACAATCCAAGCAATGGAATCATTATGTGGGAGCATTGCGCGCTGTCTTTTCCTTGTGTGCTATATGTATTATGTATGTATGTATTATTATTGCTGCCAAGAGGGTCTGACAGCATGTCACGGGTTAGGGGGTGGGCTGGGGGAGAATGCTAAGAGGAGGAAAGTGCTTTAACTTTTCTTATGGTTTTGTTGCTAGCCCTTCAAGTGCACTGAGCTAAGTGACTCTAATGGTCGTCTTTCACATGGCACATTTGGATATTTCCAGAACTACCATAAAATGGTTTAGATGGGAATTCTGAAAGAAAGTGAGGCTTCAGAAAAGTTGTAGCGATCAAGTCCACATCTTCCTGGCTAACCACCTGGGAGCAAGTGGAGCTGAACTGAGAGAAGGTGCAGAAAGGGATGGCAGCTGGTCCTGACCAGCCCCATCCCCATGCCCTTCCTCAGCCTACAGTCAGATTGCCCTGTGAGGCCAAGGGGCAGTGCCCCCTGCTGGTGAGCAGCAGGAGGCCCTTCAGAAATGGGGCCCAATTTCGGGGGCCCCAGCTCAGGCCCTCTTTTCAGGCCCTCTTTTTGACGTGACATGTATAGGTAGGAAGCACTGAAAATAGGGTGTTCCCAGAGCACTTTGTAACTCACTGGGTAAGAGGGATGATGCCTTTTGGTTTTTAAATACCAACTACAAGGAACTTTTTTGTCATGAGTACAATGAAGATGTTTCTAAACACAGCAGGACACAAATTTGGTAAGCCCAGATGAATGTATTGCCAAAAAAAAATAAAACCTTTTAAAAGGAATCTGACTTAAATAAGAAAAAAAATACCTAATCACTGTGTTGCCAAAGTCATGTTAGCACCACAGCTTTGCCGGACACACAGCGGCAGAACTTGAAGGGTTACTGACATGTAGACGCTGGGGTTGTTTTCCTGTGTGTGTTGCTTCAGCATTAAGGGCATTTTACCCTTGCAGTTTTACTAAAACACTCTGAAAAATATTCCAAGCTTCATATTAACCTTACCTGTCAACGTAATGACTTCATGAATATTATATTATTGAATTCCTACTGACAATATTATAACGATATGGGAGCTTAACTTTATAAGGAATTGTATTTTGACACTGATATCTTATTAAAGTATTCTGATCCTACCTCTGCTGGTGGCTCTTGTTTCCTGTGGATTTATCATGGGCTACACCAGGAGCTCTGGTGGTGCAGTGCCTCAGGCATTTGACTGCTAACCAGAAGGTTAGTGATTCAAACCTGCCAGCTGCTTTGTGAAGGCCCATGAGGCAATCTACTTCTGTAAAGATTTACCACCTTGGAAACACAGTGTGGGGGAGGGGGGGCTATGAGTCAGAATTGACTCGCTGACAGTGGGTTTGGTTTTTGGTTTTTTATACCTATGTAAAATGAAATCTTTATTAAATAATTTACAGAAAACGCATTGGCACTGTTTTGGTTCTCTTGTGCTGCTCTAGCAGTAATGCCACAGGTGGATGAATTTAACAAACAGGGATTTATTCTCTTACAATGTAGGAAGCCAGAAGTCCGAATTCAAAGTGTCAGCTCTCGGGTCTGGGTAGAAGCCCCTCGAGCTTGGGCCTCAGCTCTCACTCTTGCTCCTGGCCCACTGGAGCTGGCGGCCTCAATTAACTGAGGCAGCTGCTGGTGCTGAGGCTGACAAATCCAAAGTCAACAAGTAAAATGGCACAGTCCCAAGATTATCAAGCAACACGGTAGGCCACTAATTTAAGTCCATTAACAGTCCCAGAATCAGCAAACAACATGGCAAGCTGCTACATGAAGACTTGGCTAAATGCAGGGTCCAAGTGTGCCAAAACCGCGAGACCTTTCTCAAAGCTGTTTCTTATATATGGAAGCAGACCACATCCCTAAGGCAGCTACTCAGCTGCTCACGGTAGATTCCACCACAGAGTTGATTACCAGTCTCATCATGGGGAATAACTACATCCAGTTGCCCAGCCACTCAACCAGGCCCAGCCAAGTTGACACACAACCTTAACTACCACAGGAACTGATGTGTAAGAGACAACTGAGGCCAGCCAACATGAAGGCACTTGGCTTTGATCAGGAAACAATTTATGTCTTCCATATTTCTGCAGGCATTTTTCTATTTGTCACAAGACCTTTTTTTTTGTGTTTTATGGGGGAACTGAAGGAAAGATTATGGCTCATGATTTCAGAAAAATTTCATGGACCAGCCAAGCTGGTCTGGGTTTGGTTACAGTCTGCACAGAGAAATGGAGGTTCTGAGGGGACAGTCTGGCTCTAGCAATCAGAAAGGATTTCAGTTTCGAGGTGGCAGGGCTTGAGCTGGGATCTTCCCAGGTAGAATGTGGGTGGGACGAATGAAGATACCCTAGACCTGAGGCAGAGCACAGGGAAAGCCCAGAACAGGACATGGGTATACAATGATTTCCTTCATTTAAATTTCACTTTTCCAAATTTGGCCGTGCTTGTGAACAGTTGTTTCCATAGTGGGGTTTAGGGAGAAGGGAGAGGGGGAGAGGCCAGCATCATAAACTTTGTTTGCCTAATAGTTCAGTCCACATAGTGTGGTCTCTTGAGTCACCTTGTGCTCTTGTTATAGGACCAAACGCAGGTCCCTGCCCAGTGCGCAGTCAAGCCAATAGTTTACACACCGAGACTGAGAGGAAAATTATTTATTGCAAAGCGGCAATGCAAGGAGTAGGGGTAATTCAGTACCCAGATCTGACTCCCTGACATGCCATGGAAATACATACAGTTTTTGTAGGTTTCAGGAGAGGGGGTTATGCATATTCACAAAAGGTTGAGGAATTTGGGATGTGAAATGGATGACAATTGCGCCTGGAGGTGGATGAGTCACATCAGCTTCCTGTCATCAGCTGATTGGAGCTTGGGCAGAGGGGAGAGGGTCAGTTCCCATTTAACTTTTGTTCCTTTCTGCCCTATTGTGCATGTCCTCAGGCCAGAGTTAATTTACAAGTTGTTTTCTAAGACACTTTTAGTGAGTTTATCACCTGCAGGAAAGGATGTTTTCCTTCCATTCAGTTCTTTAAGGAACTGAATACTCATCTGCCTGGGATGGGGAAATAGTTGTGGGTCCTTACTTATCTATTCCCATGGGGGGGGGGTCTTATCTAATTATCTGTCTTAACCAGGGTGGGGGAAATAGTTGAGGGTAATTTAGTTTACTTATCTATTCCCATCTGGGGTCTTATGTAATTACTGTCTTAACCAGGTGGGGAAATAGTTGGGAGTAATTTAGTTTACTTATCTATTCCCATCCCGGTACCAGGGTGGGGAAAATAGCTTTTACTTTACTCAGTTTCAATCTCATTTGAGCATACCCCTCTGTGAGCTGGTATTATACCCATTTAGCAGATGGAACTGAGAACTATTGTTTGTTTATGCAAGTCACAGGTTGTTTTTGGAATAAATGAAGCATTCTTGGACAATGCTTCTCTCCTCTCAAAGCCTCTGTGCTGGCTGGGAGCTGTGTGTGTGTGTATACATATATATATATATATATGTATACACACACACACACACACACATATATATGGAAGCCCTGGTGGCGTTGTGCCTAAGGCACTTGATTGCTAACCAGAAGGCTAGCGGTTCAAACCTACCAGCCACTCCTCAGAAGGAAGATTGGGCAATCTACTTCCATAGTGATACTGCCTTGGAAACCCAAGGAGGGATCGCTGTGAGATGGATCTGACTCGATGACAGTGAGTTTGGTTTTTTGGAGAGATATGTAGATTTAAAATTTGTCCTACTCAAGATTTTAAGACCCTAGGCACTACACAGGAAACCAGGTAGAACAGAAACACTAAAACTATTATTAGGCCAATTGACTGGAGTGTCCAACAAAACCATGACCCTCAACCTCTGGACCAAGAAAATAATCCCATGAATTATTTAGTTTTATGTAAGCAGTATCAACATCTGCTTTTTCTCCCATTGTTGTAAAAATATATGTAACACAACATTTGCTAATTCAA